AGCAAGTAAACTGTTTCCTGAGTTCTGTGAGCCACTCTGGCAAATTGATGGACCCAGGGAGTGGGTTCTGTGGGCCCTTATTTCTAGCCAGTGGATCAGAAGCACAGGTGACAACCTGGACTGGTGATTGGTGTCTGACACCAGGGTGGGAGGGTGTTCTGACAAATGTTACAGCGTGGATGAACCTTGAGGACATGAGGCTAAGTGCTCAGGCCAGACACAAAAGAATAAACACTGTATGGTTCCACTTATATAAGATACCCAGGCTAGTCAAATTCATAGACACCAAGTGGAAGGCTGGTTGCCAGGGGCTGAGTGGACGGGGAAACAGAGTTACTTTTTATTACTGTTCAGTGGGTGCAGAGTTTCAGTCTGTGAAGATGAAGAAAGTTCTGGACATGGGCCGTGGTGGTGGTTGCACAACAGCGTGAATGTACTTAGTGCCACTGAACTGTACACTTAACAAAGGTAAATTTTATGGTATGTATATTTTACCAGTAAAAGCTTTTTTTTAGGCAATGAGTTCAAATTACTTTCAGCTGGATTCTTTCAAGGCTTGTTTTGAAGCTTTGTGAGGGTGCGTCACCCCCAGGAAAGGTGAGATCTTGGCTTGAAAGCTGGAGCAAGTCTTGAGGCCCTCTGGGCCTGTCTGGTGCTTTTGCTCTGCCTTTGTCCTCTGCGTCTCTGCTCAGCGCCTCGGGGGCTCAGGGAGGACTCTGTCGTGGCTGGTCAGGACGTGAACATCCCCAGCTGTGTGTGAGCTCTGGGGATTGTTAGCTTCTATCTTCCTGCTCCTTCTTTGCCCGGCATTCGCTCTGCCAGGAGCAAAGTCAGGAGGACCCTTATGGAGATTTCTAGAGCTTTTTCTCTGTGCGCTTCTAGCTCTCTAGGGTTCTGCTACCCAGACCCCACTACCTCTGCCTCCTTGAACTCAAATCTCTGTCTCCAAGTCTCAGAGAGCCTGCTGTGGTCTGTGGGATCCCCCTCCCCTGCACTGTGGTCTGGAAAGTGCATCCAGTTAGAAAGTCAGGGCAACCGCAGGCCTCACCTGACTTGTTTCCTTTTCCTCGGGGGTCACAGGTCTGCACTGACTGTTGTCCAAGGTCTGAGAACAGTTTTTCATATCTTCTGTCTGGTTTGATAGTGTTTAACAACGAGTCTAGTAAGTTAGTCCAGTTGTAGTAACTGCATCAGGGTCAGAAGAGGAAACTCAGTAGAGTTTTAATGTGCTTTTTTTTTTTAATGGAGGTGCTGGGGATTGAACCCAGGACCTCGTGTGTGCGAGGCGTAGGCTTTACCACTTGAGCTATACCCTCCCCCCAGTGTGTTGTATCTGTATGTTGATTATTTTGTGATATTCCGATTCACCTTGAAATCTAAAGTTTTGGGATTTTAACGCCATTTGGTTTGTACAATGGACCTTGTCAGGACGCTCGTTCCCCGAGGATGAAGCTGCCAGAGTCCCAAGTGGAACATTCTGGAATGACACTGGCTAACAAACGGATGTCTCTGTTGATTTCTTCAATTGAAAAGATGAAGACCTGAATTTCCCAGTGACTCTAGGCCGTAGTTCCGAGTAAAAAAAAGTACAAATGAAACCAGAATTCTCTTAAATATTCCACTATATTTACAGTCCCTTAGTGACATTAAAAAATTCTTTTCCTTTTTTTTTCTAGTTTTATTGAGATGTAACTGCTGTACAGCACTGTGTAAGTTTAAAGTGTACGGGATAATGATTTGACTTACATCATGAAATGGTGACCATGGTAAGTTTAGTGAACATCCATCATCTACAAAGATACAAAGGTAAAGAAAATTTTTAATGGGTTTTCTTCCCTGTGATGAGAACTATTTAGGATTTACTCTCCTGATGGCTTTCCTTTATAACGTACAGCACTGTTAATTCTATTATCATGTTGTACATTACATCCCTGGTAGTTATTTATCTTATCACTGGAAGTCGGTGCCTTCTGACTGCCTCCATCCAGTTCCCCTCTTGCCACCCCTCCCTCTGGTAACCACAAATCTGATCTCTTTTTCTATGAGTTGGTTCATTTGTTTGTTTTTACATTATAATTGACCTACAACACTATGTTAGTTCCTGGTACACAACATAGTGATTCAATATTTCTATACATTTCAAAATAACCACCATGGTAAGTCTAGTTTCCATCTTCACCCTACAAAGGTATTACAAAATTATTGACTGTTCCCCACACTGTACATTTCATACCCGTGACTCATTTATCTTGTAAGTGAACGTTTGTACCTCTTAATCTCCTTCACACCACATCAACAAATTGAAGAATAAAAATCAGAATAAGATCTTCTCAACAGATGCAGAAAAAGCTTCCAACAAAATTCAACATCATTACTCTAAACATTTGGATCTTTTGAACATTCTGTATTTACAGTATGTGTCTTTCAGATACAGTTGGGCCATTCTTCTTTATTCAGCCTGACAATCTGAGTTTCATTTCGGGCATTGTCTTTACAGTTAAGGTAATTATTGATATGGCTGAGTACGGTCTGCCATTTTTCTGTTTACTGTTTGTCCCATCTGTTTGTTTGTTTCTCTCTCCCTCCTTCCTGCCTTCTTTTGGGTTAAACATTTCTTAGTATATAATTTAATTCCTCTACTTACGCCATCTCTTAACAGATGTTCTATAGGGATTACAATGTCATCTGTAATTTCTTGTAACTCCCTTTAGAGTTACTGTTGTACTTCCTTTAAAATGTAGGAATGAATGTTCCTAGTTTACCCTCCCTCCCACCTACATCCTGTGAAGTTCAGTATTAGTTCCTGCACACAACAGAAGTTTACCTCTTTGAAAGTCCCTTACAGTCACTGTCTTCAGTCCTGATTTCTGGTCTTTAGGTCCTTCTCTAAGACTGTTTCTTATGGTTAATATTTGCCACCACTGGGCCACGGGTGGCAAGCATTATATATGATCCCGGCAGTCAGAAGTGGCTGAGAAAGCTGTAACTGGGCTTAAAGGAGCGCACTTAGCAAGAGTCAGGGCCAGAGCAGACGTCAGTATCGAGCAGTTCAGTGCACATGAAGTCAGAGAAAACAAGGTCCAAGCAAAGGGATCCAAAATCAGGTGGAAAAGATGATGTTATATAATTAGTAAGAGAAAAGAAAAGGTGGAAGCAAGAACCCCAAGAGCTCTCGTGAGCTAACGTGGACTGTTTTCCCCTCAGCTGCCTGTGATCCTGTCTCACTGAGTTGATCCTTGTGCAGAAAGAGTCTAAATCAGTGGCATTTAATCTTGGCTGCACACTGGAATTGCCAGAGAAGTTTTAAAATTCCTAATGCCCAGACTACACCGCAGTCCAACTTAATCAGAATCTCTAAGGCTGGGACGCAGGCATGTGTTTAAAGTTTCCCAGGTGATTTCAATGTGCACACAAGGTAAATCACTACTGGTTTAAATGTTTGCAAATGTGCAAGTGAACGGGTGGTGTGTAGGGACAGAGGAAAGGAGCATTTCTGGGCTTGGATTTTTCTCTCTCTTTTCGCCTCTAGAAACTTCCTGGTGATTTTCCTTCTTGGGATCCTGATCCTCCCCACTTTGGCTTCAGGTTGAAAACTGCTGTTAAAGAGCCCTCAGCCTCAAGCAATGTTCAGGCTGCTCCTCCGATTAACTTTTCTACTGATATTAGACGCTCAGCTCCTTACTCTGTTTCTCCAGCTAAACTGGACTTTCTCCTCTGGGCTTCCCTGGAAATTCTCTTCTCTGCTTCAGCCATTTGGTTTGTAACTGAGACATCCATGGACCTCTTGCCCCCTTCCAGACCTAATAACACTTCAAGGAAGAGAGCCAGTTTCTGGGGGGCACAGCCACACTCGTTTTTGTGATCCGCCCTGTGATACTTAGAGCAGGTCTATACAATCAGAAGATACACAATTACCTCATGAGTTTGCTGCATCCTATTCAGCATGAATTCCTTTATGCTGATGAAAGGCTGAACGCCCACGGAAGGTTTTCTCATGCCTCTTACATTTATAGGGTTTTTCTCCTGTATGAATTTTCTGGTGTTGAATAAGAGATGAGCTCTGGCTGAAGGCCTTGTCGCAGTCACTGCATTTATATGGCTTCTCTCCAGTGTGTGTTTTCAGGTGCTTGGTCAGGGATGAGCTCTGGCTGAAGGCTTTCTCACATTCTTTACATTTGTAAGGCTTCTCCCCAGTGTGAATCCTCTGATGTCTTACAAGAGCTGAGCGGTCACTGAAGGCTTTCCCACATTCATTACACTTGTAAGGCTTCTCCCCAGTGTGGGTTCCCTGGTGTTGAATAAGAGCTGAACAGTAACTGAACGCTTTCCCACATTCGCTACATTCGTACGGCTTTTCCCCCGTGTGAGTCCTCTGATGCTGAGTGAGGCCTGACGGGTCGCTAAAGGCTTTCCCACACTCGTTACATCCGTAGGGTTTTTCTCCTGTATGAACCCTCTGATGTTTAATAAGGGAGGAGGTGTCATTGAAAGGTTTCCCACACTGCTTGCATTTATAGGGTTTCTCTCCAGTGTGTGTTCTGTGATGCTGGATAAGGTACGTGCTTTGGTGGAAGGCCTTCCCACACTCATTGCACTCATAGGGCTTTTCTCCAGTATGAATGATGTGATGTTGGATGAGGGCTGACCGGCGACTGAAAGCTTTCGCACATTCGTTACACCCGTAGGGCTTCTCTCCGGTGTGAATCCTCCGATGCTGCATAAGCGATGAGCTCCGGCTGAAGGCCTTTCCGCAGTCCATACACACATAGGGCTTCTCTCCCGTATGAATCCTCTGATGCAGGACAAAGGCTGAGCAGTAAGTGAAGGACTTCCCACACTCAGTGCACTTCCAAGGCTTTTTCACTGAGTAAACTTTCTGATGTTTAACTGAGTTTGAACCTACCCCGATTCCGTTACAATCCTCCACGGGGTTTCTCCTGTGTTTAATTATGACTTGCCTTATATCTTTCTTCGGAATTCTTTGCTGCCTTTCTAATGTGCCTCCACATTCCCAGGCATCATCCTTTTCAAGTCTTTGAATTATCAGCTCCTGTCCAGGGGATATTTCTTCATAAGCGTCCTGCTTTGAAAGGGACACTTTAGTTTCAGGTATGGCGTCAGAATCTGAAATAAATAAAAAGTACAAAGGTTGGTGTTCTCTGTGCCAAGAGAAAGAAAACTGCTGAGGTGGCAAGGAGCTAGAAAGAATTAAGATGATGCCCATTAAAAATGCTTACTGGAATGTTCTCAGAAAGACCTTCATGGCAATGGCAGACAACAAAGTTTCAGTGAATAACAGAGATGAGAGAACGACTAATATGAGGGACAATAAGACGTCAGACAGTGAGGACGCTCTACCTGAGAGAACGGAAGACTGAACAGAATAACCACGGAAGAGGATAAGCAGACAGGATGAGAACAAATGTTAAAATAAAATAACGGAGGAAGCGGGAAGGAGAGTGATGAAAACACAGGTTGAGATTGGGCGGTACTGAAAAAGTATTAGACAAAAAAATTACTTATTAAAAAAAGAAGAAAACAAAAAAAATCACTTACAATAATACCACCTGGAGACAACCACTTTTGACTTGTTTCTTTGTTTTAGTTTTTGTTTGGGACGGGTGATAATTTGTTTTT